CTGAGGGCTGAAAGATGGATAAATCTGAACTAAAAGTTTTACATTTATTTTTTGAGAATTTTAGGATTAAACCTAGACCAGTTTTCTATATGGCCCAGAGATAAATGAAGGTCAGATTTACTCTGGAAGAATTCCAGGGAGGGAAAACTCACCATTCTGGGAGCTTTGTTTGGAAGTCCAGCAGCCACAGAGGAGGGAAGTACCTTGAATCAAACTTTGTTATTTCTCAGGAGCAGGGCAGTGAAGAAGGGACAGAAGAGTACCTTTAAGTATGGCACAAGAACTAAATCTTAACCATCTCAGGCACAGAAGGGCAATTAAGATCAGGAGCTTTTTCAGAGTGGTTCTGTAATCCTTAGCAAAACATGTCTCCAGAGACAAAAGCTATGATTGACTCCAACTGAATTGCCAAGCAGAAAATCAAACCAATAATCAAAGAATCTGAATGAATGCCTTTTTGTATCTTGAGAGAGAATAAAAGTGTTGTAACTATATTGTTTAAGGCTTTTCTTTTTAAGTAAATTATTTTGAATCTATAATATTGAATTTATTATTTAAATACCCTACAGGCTGTTGAGCAAGTCCCTGATCTTGTATAAACATCCCCCAAACCATATTTTACCTATTATTAACATACAAACTGAAACGGTATCCTGTAGCAGGCACTTAGAAGTGCTTGTTTGAGTTTCTGGGAAGCAGTCTGGAAATAAGAGTCCCAAGTGTCTGTCTCTTGAGTTTTTCTATAAGCTAGTTAGAGGGGTCACACAATCTCATATCTTGCTATCTGAAGGCCACAAAAGCCTGTAATTTCTAGAAATCTCCTTAGCTGTTTTAGAGTCTTGGGCTGTGGAAAGGCAAGAATTGGTATAATTCTTTCTTACTCCAGTCCTTGGGTCCCCTTAGATATAATAAGGCCTAGATATTTTACCTCAAGACTGCAAAGTTGTGCCTAGATCACCCCTGTATGTTAGAAAATTCAGCAGGTACATGTCTTGGCTAGAAAGCTCTTTTGAGTGGGTACATAACAGCATACTATCTACATATTGCAAGACTGACTTGGAAAAAACAATAGTATTTCCTTCTACAAAATCAGGATCTGGGATGTCCTCATCTTTTTCCTAATAAATAGTTGACAATTTAACTGAAGGGCTTAGTTCTCATCTTTCTTAGACCTTTAGGAATACATGCCTGAATATGTCTTTTAATCTTCTATCTGATTGGCAGACAAGAAGGGGTCTTGTATAGGAACTGCTTGTGTTCCAGTAAGAACCAGTTATTCCCCTGGCTGCCTGTCTTTGAGCTTCCATAATCAAGATAATATTTATCTATACATGTAGTAGCAGCTTGTAATACTACTCATCTCTCATTAGAAATTAATATTTTATTTAAGAGGAACATTACATCTTTCTAATTGTTAGGTATTTCAGAGCCCCTGCAGAGCAAGCCCCCTCCTCTCCTTTCCCCTTGCCCCACTCCAGCCACAGGAAACAGGGAGCTTCCACATAACTAAGGCATGACTTCCCTTTGTTAGTAACTCTCTGCCTAGTTAAGGTCTTTCTGCCCCGTTGGTTTTGTAGTCAGATGTTCCAGGAAGATAGGGGCTTCCTGAAAGCAATTACTCCATCCCCTCAACTGAAACCTGTTGCTACATACCCCAGCCCCAATTACCCATGCCCCACCAATGGAGAGACTAGTGCTCTCCCACCTGCAAAATCCTATATAAATCTCCAGCTCAGCCCATGCAGTTGCTGGTCTCCATTCTGTGAGTCAGTCTGGCAGGCTGCAGACTGCTGCCCCAATAAAGCTTGCTTGAATATGTGTGTGCCTTCCTTTTGGCGACCCTTTCATTCTGGTGCTGAAACCCAGGAGGTGGCACTATCAGGACCTGCTGGCTCACCCCACCAGGGTCCAGAACTGCACTCCCAATAGCCCCTTCCCAGATCTGCAGTTGCCAAACTGGGGCACATGCCTCCAGGGCTTTCAGTCCTTTGCCATCACATCCAACACTGGCCTGATTCTCTCAATGGGTGAGTCAAGGGTCCCCCTGTCGAATCTCCTGTAGTTTGGGCTCTGGTAGCCTCAGGGAAAATCCTAGCACTAGGTCAGGAGCATCCAGGCAGCCTTTGGGATACTGGACAGACTGAACAGACCTAACCCTCATCACCTCGGAGACATCTGACTGATGAATGGTTCACCCCTGGGCTAGGCTAGCCCTCAGTAGTGGAAAGGGATTAAGGAATGAGGATGCTCCTTCCCTACCCCCTTTCTTGGGAATCTTTGTCCTCACCCTTTTAATTTGCGACACCTAAATGGACACCACTCAGTCTTGCCCATCTCGGGACACTCCCCTGGGCTGTCTCCTAAAACACATTAAAACCTTCTGCCTTGGGGGCTTGGTTAGGTCAAAGTGGCTAATCTTTTACTGTAATACTGCCTGGCCTCAATACCATTTAGACAATGAGTCCCAATGGGCCAAGAATGGCACTTTCAATTTCAATATGCTCCACAATCTGGACAATTTCTGTCAGCACAATGGTAAATGATCTGAAATCCCTTATGTTCAAGACTTCTTCACTCTCCACACTCGTCCCTCTTTGTGTTCCTTCTGCCCCACCTGTCAAATTCTCTTAGCCCATTCCAAACCTCCTCCCTGCCTGGATCCCAAACCTCCTTTGGACCCCACTGCCAGCCCCCATATCCCCAACACATATCTCAAGGAGTTTAGGTACCTGACCCAATCCTATGATCTCACTTGGCATGAACTCTATGTTATTCTTTCTTCCACTCTTCTCCAGGAAGAAAAAGAATGGGTCTGGCTGGTGGCCCAGGCACATGCAGGCGAGGTCCACTGGGCAGATAATACCAAGCCTGTGGGCACTACTGCCATCCTCCAGGAGGACCTCAATTGGAATTATCAGGCAGGCCTCCAAAGGGCTGCCCTTAAGGCAATCAACTATGATAAGCTCAGGGAAATTATTCAGAGGGGGGATGAGAATCTGGCCCAGTTTTTGGCCCACTTGACTGAGGCTCTCCAAAAATTCACCAAAGTTTTTCCTGCATCAGCCGAGGGAAATTTAATTATGGCTTTTAAAATTTTCAATGGTCACAAGGATCAGGCAAAGGCAGAAAAAGCCCAGCACAATTGGGCTAAGTACCAGCTACTGGCTGCTGCCCTACAAGGCTCCTGGACCCATGGGCAGGGACCTACAAAGATCCATTCTGGTCCTTGTTTTAAATGTGGCAGATCCAGCCACTGGGCTAGGGCCTGCCAGTCCCCCAAACCACTATCAGGACCCTGTCACCTGTACAAACAGAAGGGACACTGGAAGGTAGACTGTCCTCCCTCCCCTCAGTGCAGGAGGCCAGTCCCCTCCTCCCTTCCCATGAGGGAATCCAGCCCATCTCTACCTGACCTGTTGGGCCTAGCCGCAGAAGAGTGATGGTGCCCTGGGACGTTGGCCCTTTCATCCATCACATCAAAGGAGCCCAGTGTAACTATTCACATGGCAGGTAAGCCAATCTAATTTCTTATTGACTGGGGCCACTTATTCGGCCTTGCCTGAATGCCCTGGACCTATGCATCCCTCAGGGGTCTCGATTGTGGGAGTTGATAGAGTTGTTTCCTCCCCTCTAGCCACTGAGCCTTTGTCTTGCCACATACAGGGCCTCCCCTTCTCCCAGTTGTTTCTCCTTTTACCTAGTAGCCCTGTCCCCATTCTGGTATGGGATCTGCTCTCCAAATTTAAGGCAGCCATTTCTTTTCAGTTACCTTTAGCTGAGTCTGCTTTCATCCTGGTCCTCCCCCCAGCCAGACCCCCATAGCCATAATCTCCCACTACCACTCGACATGATAGAACCAATAGTGTGGGATACCTCCTCCCCCTCAGTCACAGCCCTGTAGCTTGGAGCAAGCTGCAGCAGCTGGGACTGAGCCCAGCTCAAGAGGAGGGTGCAGCATGGTGGGGAGGACTCAGGGCTGGGCCGGGGCAGAGACACCTGGGGTCCCAGAGGCTGGGGCAGCCTGGAGCCAGGGGGAGCCGAGCTCCCGCTCAGGCACCTGTGAACCAATATGGCCATGCATGGCTAGGGTGCACAGCCCGGGAGGAGGACGCTAGGGCAGTGGCAGGCAGGCAGCAACCTGAGCAAGCCCCATGCCCTGCACAGGCTGAGCCAGACCTGACAGGTCCTGCTGGAACAATATGATGGTGGAATCCACCTCAGAGTCAATCAGCTCCATTCAGGCAGAATGGCGTGGGTAGCCTCTCTGGGCAGGCAGATGGCAGCAGTGGGACTGGGGCTACTGGCACCACTGCAAGTGGCCTAGGCAGGGACAGTGCTGGCAGTAGGAAGGCAGTGGCTGGAGCAGATTAACCCTGTGGAGCTTCTACACTTCCAACAGCAACAGGCTCTCACTCCTGATTTAACATCGCTCTCCCTGACCCCCAGCTCTGTCCTCCAATATGTTGATGATCTCCTCCTCTGCAGCCCCCTCTGCTGGATCATCCCCCCC